ATAACGTCATGGGCTTGTAATGACATAGCAATAGCAAAACTTTAAATTAGCACACAAAATATAATGCGTTTCAGGAAAGCATAGATTATATCTGCCCAATGGAGTGAGAGCATTTGGCCAAGACCTCGTTAGCGTGGAGTCCGTTCTTTCTCACTGCCCTGCTTCCTGCTGACCTTCTCCCGCTGACCAGGAAGAAAAACAAGGACAGGGGTGTGCGGAGAAAACAGTGACATTCAGTTTTAATTCATCTGAACTTGCTGCCAAGCTTCATTATGTAATTGAGGGCGTGAGATGGGTGGGCCTGCAGCCACGTGGGCGGCGGTTTCTGATGGTTAGCATTCACCAGGGTTTGAGGGAGGATTTTCACAGCAGCCACAAAGTATCATTAGCGGGAGTTGAACTAATCTCCCTGCCCTGCCCCTCACCAGATGTAGGTACAGAGGTTCCTGGTCCCAGACTTGATTATTTGTCATTAAGGGAAGCAAACTGAAGCCAATGAAGTTGCTCTGTTCTATAGTAAAAGCATCGTGATTCTTTCAAGGCATCTTCGTATCTCGTTTTGTTTGCTTCTGATGGTGAGGAAGTATATGTTGTCATGTAAAACTCAGGAATGCGATGTGGATTTCTAGAATTAGAGTGTTTTTCAGGGTTGTTTACCTCTACACTTTCATTTTTATTTACTGAAAGTGAGTAGTATGAAAGCACGTTAACTCAGTGAAATATTTCATAGAGGGTGGCTTATACTTTGTAACTTTCTTTCACAGGGTCTTAGCTCCCCAGCTGGCCTGGAGCCTTCTGTAGAGAAGGTATTTTGTGCGAAGGGGCCACTGTCTCTCCTTGCTGGCATGATGGCTCTTTAGAAACACACTCTTCTCAAAGTTCGCCCATGCCCGCCACGATTCAGAGAGCGTGCAGGGGTTGCGTCACAGAAATGTCTTCTGTGTGAATTGGAGGTCGGCCCTGGAGATCAGTACTGTGATTTTGTAACATCCTGTGCAAACGTGTGGGGGTGGAAGGACAGGAAGGAAGCCAGAGAAGAGGCTGAGCTGGAGAAGATGAGAATCTCTCCTCAGCCTCGCTGGGTGGAGCATGGCTGAGCCAGTAATGTGACTACTTGGCATTCATATTGTTCTGTATGGTCAAAATAGAGATTTTTATCATGTAATTCCCACTAACATTCATGAAGAAAGTTAGCATCTTTAATCAGGCTTTTAATTAATTTTGACAATTATTTATTAAGTACAGGCTAGGTGTTAGGTACGGTCCCAGTAACAGGGCTAATCAAAGAAATAACACCTGGTGACCAAGCGTGGCCTTTTTTTCCCCTTTCAAGTTACAGTGAGCAAAGGAAAGGATCCCTCTTTCAGTAAAAGACAGCACTTCAGGAGTGTTCTAAATGCTTTCACCCCTCCACCTTCTCGGGAATATTATTCTATAGGTTATCCCCTTGCCCTTCTGAAGTTTTCATCTCTTGCCTTCTGCTTGATCTTCCATATCACTATTTAAAAATGCCAAAAATAGTCCCATGGTGGGTGCAAAAATGAGTATCTGTTGAATAACTTGAACGAATAATCAGGAGTTCTCTACCCTAGCTTCACACTGAAATCAGTGAGGGAATTCACACACAATCTGTGTGTGTAAACACCAAGGCCACATTCCCAAAGATACTGATTTAGTTTTCTTGGGACTGAGAAGAGGCCATTGTGGTTTTTTTTTTTTTTAGCTCCCAAACATTGCAGTATACAGCTAAGGTGGAAAACCAGAGTATCTCCCATCTTAAAAGGAACAAACAACAACTTATTTGACCTTATATGCTCCTCTAGTTAACCCGTTTCTTAATTCTTTTCCCCAGCAATGATACCTGTGGGCCCTCCCTCCACCTCCTTATCTTTATCTAGTTAACCCGTTTCTTAATTCTTTTCCCCAGCAATGATACCTGTGGGCCCTCCCTCCACCTCCTTATCTTTCTGTCGCTCTTTAACCACCCAAGCAGGCATCAACCCCCACCACATGCCTGAGCCAGATCATGAGAATGCCATCCATGTTCCTAAACACACCAAGCATTCAGGTGCTCCTCTCGCTCGCATTTTCAGGAGCATTTGCTAGTTGGTTTCTCTTGGAGCACTTTGTTACCTTGGCTCAGAGACACCCTAGTCCCTTTTCATCTTTTTTCTTCCTTCCATTCTCCTTCACCATCCTTTGCAATCTCATTTTTTCATCTGACACCAAAATGCTGAAGTTCAAGCTCCAAACCTGGATTCTTTGTTTCCACCTAGGCCAGGCCTGTGTATCCATTTCCATCTCTCTCAACAACATCTTTATTCTGTTGACCTCCTCATTTTTGTTTCCAATCCTCTCCCCTTTTCTGAGCAGCTGACTAATGTATCGAGTGCTACTGGACATTTTTACATAGATGTTTTACAGGCATTTCTAACTCAACACATCTCAAACCAGTATTTTAATTTTCCCTCTTTCCTTCTGGATCCTCCCCATTTCAGAAAATCATCTCTACCCATCCACTGATTTATGCCAAAAAATCAGTAGTAATCCTTGTTATCTTTATCTCCCTTACTCCCATCCCAGGTAGTCCATCACCCAGTCCTGTTAATTCTGCCTCTGAAGTATAATTCAAATCATCCATTTCATTGCCAGCTGCCATTTGGCTGTATTGCTGGAATAGCCCTAAAGCCGCCTCTCTGATTCCTTTCTTGATACCCACTTCCTCCACCACAATTCAGTCTCCAGCAGAAGCCAGTTGAAGTGATATTTTAAGAAATGCAAATTATACCATGTCACTACTTCAGACTTTCAACAATGAACAGTGAGTAGTTAGATTCTATCTTATATGCTCTCATTTTCTTTCAAGGAAAGCACACCATTGATAATTACAGATTTATTTGCATAGTTACATGCATCATGTCCATTTCCCAACTCGACTATAAGCTGCATAAAAGTGGGAAGTGGGGCTGTTTTGTTTTTTCATCACTATATACCCCATACCTGGCAAAGGCCTGACATAGTATTTTCTTAGTGAATAAAAGAATGAGTATGTGAATAGATGAGGTGGAAGGGGGTGCCTGGTGTAAGGCCAGTTCTGCTGAAAACTCGACCACCCTGCTTAAAAATGTACCAACTGACAAGCTGGATTGAATTCTTTAGTGGAATTGTTTTATTCCATGTCCTAACTTCATGATCCAAGAAATTTTCAAGAATTGCATCATCTCCCTGGTGGGCTTCAGGGGCTGCTAGAAATAGTTTGTAAAGTGGGGTCATAAAGCAGTTCATTGTGTGGTGTATTTGGAAAGGACATTGGCAGACTTGGCTTCAAATCCTGGATCTGCCAAATAAGCAACTAGTGATTTGGGGCCAGTCACGCCACCCTGCTTGAGCCTCGGTTTCTTCACGAATAGACATGAATGCGTGTGAGCCAGTGGGCACTCAATTACAGTTTCACCAGGTGTCAATGTGTCAACCACCCTGCAGAGTATCTGGCCACAGGAGATAATGTCTACATTTTAGTTTGATTTTCTACTCCTCTTACTCTACTTTTTAACTAATTTTGTTCTTTTCCCCTTTCTTCCTTATGCTTTTTTCCCCCATCTTACTCATCTTAGTGGGTGGTAATACATTACTGACAAAATTTGAATGTTGTGAGAATAGAAAAATTAACAGTACTTACAGAGCAGGCTGCCTTTTGGATTAGAAATACAAACTTCACAGCTTCTCTCACCAGCTTTTCAAGAGCATTCTATGGTATACTGCTGGGTAACAAGTTCATTTTGGGATAACATGCTGGGAGGGAGAAAAAGAAGAAGGGATTCAAGGGGAGAAAATTAAAAAGTTAATTAAAAGAAACAACTTGGTAATTGAATTCCCTTGCACTCTTCTTTGGATATTTGGGGTGGGGTGGGGTGCGGGTGTCACAGTCCATGGTTAGAAGGTGTGCTTAAGTAGCTCATCTCAAAACTTTGAAATGAGACATGTATGAGCGTACAGAGGAATCCCTGCCTGCCAGATGATAATAGTCATAGGATGCATGTGGTGGGCTTTTTAGATGTGCCAGACAAAGCTGCCCTCACATTTATTCTTGAGAATTTTTATTTGAAATATTCTTGGCAGCTGACATTACTGTTAGGTGAAGCCCTGGACTAATATCAGTCAATGTATGGCCATGCAAAATCCTCTTTCTACTGATTGTGTTTCGTTGATTGGAGCTATTTCTTCGGCCTCACTCTGTATATACACCCCCACAGGCACCAGACTGAGAACAGTAGAGGCAATTCTCATGCCCTTTACAGATTGTACTCAAGTAATAAATAAGTGATATGTGTCTTTGTTTCTTATTTTTAAAAGAAGTTTGAATATCTGTCTATTTAATCCCTGTGTATTACAAATCACTAAAGAATCCAAAATAACTTATTTAAGATGTTATCACTGAGCAAAACAAGGTCTTGTGATGAATTAGCATGGATTTAGGAATGAACTGGAGCTAGGTTTAATCCCTCAATCTCTCTTACAACATGTATTCATCTGCACAATCCACATGCATTTATTGAACACCTACTCTGTACCAGGCACTAGTGAGGCTGCTGGTGATAACTACCTAATTTCTACCATGGCTTTTATTAACATCAATTTTTTTGAGGTCTTGAAAATTAACTTTAGAGGTAGACTCTTCTCTGTTTTCCAGCATCTCATGCTCCTCATTCCTACAGCAGATCCTTTGAAAAAAGAACATGGTGAAATAACGTATCACTTTACTCACCAAATTAATGTGAATCAGGTTGCTGATTGCATATTCAATCTCCCAAGGAGTCTTTAGAAAAGGAGAGTTACCATTTCATGTTTAATGATGCTGAGTATCTTGGCCACCCTGTGAAGAACCCTAGATGGAGGGTCTTTATACAGTGAGGAATGCAAGTTTGACCCCAGACACACTGGGTGGATGTAACAGAGATGTGTTATTTGTAGTACTAACATGGGGTTTTGTGTTTCCACAGGTTATGGTTTTGTAGATTTTGACAGCCCCGCAGCCGCACAGAAAGCCGTCGCGTCTCTCAAGGCGAATGGCGTGCAGGCACAGATGGCCAAGGTGAGACTGGCGGTCTGCTAGTTTCTTTTCTTTTGCTTTTGTGATCGTTATTTCTCCATTTCTGTGAGCTGAGTTGGAATTGCTGTTTGCAACACTTTGGATCATGTGTGCTTGTTAGAGCAAATAAGAAACCTTGCAGTAGGTCTAGTCAAGAAGAATCTGGCTGGTTTATTTCATTGTTTCTTTGTGTATATTTATTAATATGCTTTTGTGTCATGGTAACCCCCTCAGTGCTCAGTTTTGCCTGAGAAAAGGAGATGTGTGTGTCCGTGTGCTTACCTAGGGCTTTGCCAGTGAACAAGTTTGGAATAGTACAATTCTCATCAAACTGTCTTCCATAAAATGTGGTACAAAATTGCTCCTTCTCACACTGGGGAGAGCTGATTTCTGAATAGTGAGGTGGTCTGATCTATGAGGGGAAATGAGTTGAACCAAAGAGTATATTTTCTATGTTGCTAGAATTTTACCTTGCTCTTTATAAACAGAGTTTTCCCAGATAACAGTATTTTTCAATACTCATTTTATTGTTATATAGAACAAGTTGTCTGGAACTTTCCATATGAAATTATAATGCATTTTTATATTCAAGCAAATGAATAAGATCATTTATAATAACTTTGTATTCTGTTTATAGTGGCAGTTATAAAATTGTACACATGTGATAAAATGATATAGACCTGTAGATTTAAATTGAACCTACATATTATACTGATGTCAATTTCTTGGTTTTGATATTTTACCATAATTAGGTCAGGCGTAAGCTTTGAGAGTAACAGGTGAAGGGCACGTGGGATCTCTCATATCATCTTGGCAACTTCCTGAAAATATGTTATTATTTCCACTTAAAACATTAAAAAGTCACTCTATAACATATGCATGCTTTGGGCATACTTGTTTGAAAGCTATGGTCATTTTATTTGTTAATATGCAACTGAAATTTTTAAATATTATTCTGATGACTGTTAATGAATTTGTTTATCCAGAGGTTTCTCAAAAGTTTTGTATAAGAGCCAAGAGTTTCTGAAATTCTTATTGAATGCATTTATAGTATATTCGTGTCTGCACTTACCTTAACTATTCCTGTAAGAGCTGAGTGATATAATGAGTCATCAAATTTCTGGTCCTTGGGGTTTTGTTATGATTGCTTTATTCCCTGAGAACATTTTCCAATTTCGACCTTAGATAACTGGAGGTTATCTTCATTTTCAGTTGTCTTCTAGCAAACTGATACCGCCCATATCTGTTAACCTTTTTGTTTTTGTGGGTCACTTCCTGTATGGATTACTTTGGTAGATTCATTGACCTTTTGACACATTAGTTGTTTTTCAAGGCAATATAAATTAATATTTGAATTACTTCAGCTATGTAATATATTCTTCATCAGAATTGTGCCTGCAAGCATTGAATGTGGTCATGAACTAAGATTGATGAAGTTACTCTTTGAAATTAATAAAGAAGTGACGTACATGTCTTGGTTTAAAGGTTACTTGTCAAAGAGTCAGGTTACGTGGCAACTTAAGTAGTGATGTCTTATACCCAGGGAACAAATGTTAAAACACAGTTGTTAGATACATACAAAATAGAAAACTTGAATCTGAACTGAAAGGCAGCACCTATTGACAAGAAAATGATTATAAAAATGCTTATGAAAAATTCTTGTTGGAAGGTTGTTGATCTATTCTATTGATAAATTAGCAAGTTTTGAAAACTGCTAAATTGTGGTAGTTTAGAAATAATGAATCAGTGTGTGTAACCTCCAGTGTCACGTCTTCAGAGAGGAAAATATATATATGTATGTATGTATGTATGTATGTATATATAATGTTACTTGTTGGATAAAAACCAGTACCATCTTGCACAATAAGGAAAGAAAGTTGGCAATGATTTTATAACGCTGAGTAGCTATTATGAATATTTTCCCTTTGTTTCTGAGCATTTTGGTGCACAAGGAATCTCTCTATGTCTTTCTGCCTCACTCTCTTTTTCACACACACACACACACACACACACACACACACACACACACACACACCAATCACTGACATATCACTTGCACAGTATACTATTAACACTGAAAAAAACTTAGAATTTTCCAAAACTGTATTCATTAGAGCCAGCATTTGACCCTGAGACCATGCCCAAGGTACACAGTTAGAGATTCCTACTAGAATCTTTAAAGGTACTTATTTTATTTCTGGACTTGCTGAAAGGGTTCTATCTTATCAATTATGCTATCTGTGGAGTAAATTCTTTCTCCTCTTTTCTCTCAAAGTGTGACTCTAAAGGCCAGAGCTTTAGATCCACATTTGCCTACTAGAAAACTTTCGGCGATAAATGACTCTGTAATTTAACTACCCAGAGGCAAATTAATAGCCTCCCTTTGACAATGAAATGGAACAAGCTTGACCACCTGTATTAGCAGATTTCTCACTGAGCTATTGGATTTCATGGCCCTTTTTTCCTTTGTCCTGGTGATAACTATTATTTATTATCATATAAACCTGAAGTCTGCAGGGTGTGTGAAACGTGCACTATATTTTCTGCCATTTAAGTATCCACTGAATCACCTCCTGCATCTTGTTCTTATCAATATCCCACTATGCAGGTGTGATGCCACATTTTAACCACTCCAGGATTTTAAAGCAAAAGCACAACAAATAATCTAGGTTCCCAAGAGCAACCCGGAGCAAATGTGAAACTATGAGTGAACTGCTTTATTTAGCTAACTTATTACAATGTGTGCATGTGCATATGAAAAATTCAGCTGATTTGTCAGCTAAGAGGAATTAAACAATAAATCATCCAGTAAGTGGTAATTGATTAATAATATGTAACCACTAACACAGACTAACATTTTCTGTATTCTTGCTATTCTGTCAAAAAGGGTTTTGGGAGATCAATGGAAATGTTTATTTTGGGAGAGCAGATTTAGAATATTTTAGTAACACATAGTGGTTAAGAGCCTAGGTTTAGAGGGAGATAAACGTGAAACTCTTTAGTAAGAATACTCAGGTTATAGGACTGCTATGAGAATTTTAAAAATTCATGAAGAATTTAGCATATTGCTTAGATTATACCAGGAATTCAATAAATGTTAATTATTCAATGAATGTTGTTATGCATTAAATTTAAATTTGTTACTGAACCATCTACACATCTTAATGTATGCTTTAAGTGTTATGTTATTACCAAGCAGTTTCTTGAGAAATGTAATGAATAGTGTCAATCAATAAGGATTTTAATGCATGCTAAGTATCAGGCATTGTGCTAAGTGTTGAATCAAGATTGAATAAAACTTCTTTCTCATTCTGAATTTGTAACATTTAGACTATCTTCCGGAATTGGTACTAGATTGCTCTGATTTTGGAATATTGGGCATTACTGTTCTTGCCAACCTCAAGATATTCAGAAGAAAATCTTTGGCTATGAAATGTGTCTCTGTAATCATGAAGAGAAAAGAGCTGAGAAAATCCAGCTAACAACAGCTTATCATTTTAGATGGTTATTTTACTAATTAATAGAGGGCCATAGATAGGCAGTTAAGGGCAGATGCCTCTGTATGCCATCAAGGATCAAGGCTGCTCTTCCATTCTTTATGCTTGGCTTTCACCCATGTGTTCCATGTTGGTTTCTAACACTCCAGCTATTCTATCCCTATTTTAGCCAGGACAGAGAAAATGACCAAAGACTAAAGGTCATTCTAGATAATTATATTAAAAGCTTTTGCAGAATCCTAACTCAGGAATCTATGTTTCCATCCCTGTGGCCAAGCAAGAAGAGAGTCTGGGATGATGAATAATTCAGCTTCTTTGCCTCTAGTAGAGAAAATTAAGAATAGTTCATCTTGGCTGCCCAATATCCATGACTCTATTTCTCCCATTTATACATGTTGGGTGGTATGCAGTCATTCCTTCCCCAGGAAAGCCTACCTCAAAGCCACTCCAGTAATCACATCTGATGATGTTAACATCTCCAAAAGCTCAGACACAGCACCTCTTCATTGGTTAGCACCCCAAAAGTCTTAAAGCCATGTTATCTGTGTGAGCTTCCACAATATAGGATCAGAGAGAAACAACAAGACATGTAAAACTAGAAGAAAACTACCATTTAGAAACAGAGAGAATGGGAAACAAGCAGAAATCACTGATTTTTTATATATATCAAATCCTGTTGACAAGAATAGAATTCTAGAGTTTGTTGTCGGTGCAGTAAGTTTTTGGTTGCCAATCATATAACCCTTGAATACCATTCAGAGGGAGCTCCCTTGCCCATTATTTCCCATGGCCTCATTGAGACCTCATTGGAGGACTGTGCAGCTTTAGAAACTGAATTTTCCTAGATGTAAATTTGGAGGCTCCAGAATGGCTTTACATGTTGAGGAGTCACCAGTTGTTACCAGCCTGGCCTTGAGTTATCTCATGCTAAACAGGACTCTTTCTTGCTTTATGTCAATTCCAAATGCAAGTAAACAGAACACATCTCTTTTTAGGTGAAAGAGCCACAGAGGAGTCACCCCCTCCTTAGGGTCATTAGAAAAGGCTTTCTCAGGTCTACTGCTAGACTGCCATTCCAATCACCAAAGGTTATTAACCTCACTGTGCCACGTGTTGAATAATCAAAGTAATCACAAAAGAGACCTAGCATCCAAGAAGATGTTAAACACCTCAAGGATAGTATGAAAATATCATGTCAGCTATGGGGTCAATATAAAAATACGATGTCAACTGCAGCAGGGAACCAGACTGAGACCAGAGGAAAGGAATTATTTCCTATAAAATAATGACCTTAATAGTTCTCTTCAAAAACAGCAGAAAACCAGAATGGTTGGATTTTGTTCACTTGAGGTCAGAAGACATAAAAAGTGAAAAATCAATGAATATAGGACAATATTTCTGTAAATTTAAATATGTATATATGCACACATTTTTTAAATACATCACCTCAGAGTTAATACATAACTCTAACAGTTACATTTCAATAAGAGAATTTTAGTTCATGAA